AAGCCTGAGGGATCATGCAATTCTATGTACATTGTGTCTGATGAATTGTTCAATGAAAATAAGTTATTATTACATGTTTTGAATTCAATCATGACAATTTTAATGATTTTAAATCTCAGTTTGCTTGAACGTGTCTTTATACACATTATACGTAGATGATGACACTTGCTATGATTAAGCCTGAGGGATCTGTTCACATCTATGTAAATTGTGTTTGTTGGCATACCTATCCAAATTAGTTCATTTTATTTTATTTTATGAGCTTTTGAATGATTTTCTCTCATTTAATTTCATTTCTTACTTGTATCTTTTATAATCATGTCTTCTTACACATTGTACATAAGCCTTTCTTCTCACATTTTTGCAAGCTGTGTTTGATGTCTTGTTTATTGAAAATATTCTTTTCCTATGTTCTGAGTTTATTTATAAAAACTTATTTGATTTTTCATCTCAATATTTTTGCTTATATTTTTCTGAATTGAACTATGGAACTTTGCCGAGCTTGTGTGTGCAATATACTGACTCGCCTATTTGAAGTTGCAAGTTGGGGTATGTGGAATGGGCGAAGGCCTGTGCCACATGACTCCTAGAGTGAAGGGTACCTTGTCAGGCTGGTTTCACTGAGGAGCGAAAACCTGACTTTCAAAGGTGGAAAATAACTAGATGGTTGCACCATGAGTCCACTCTGTCCAGACAGGCCGAATCCAAAGAACAATGACAATATATTTTGCTTAATTTTCTTTGAACATATCTTCACAAAATTACTTTCGTAGAAGATAACGCTGACATGATTAAGCCTGACTGCCTGAAGGGTCATTTTCTTATTTATATGTCCTCGTACACATTATACATAGATGATGGAGCTTACTATGCTTAAGCTTGAGAGATCGTTGGCATCTGCGTAAAGTCGTAAACTGTGTTTGATGTCTTGTTTCTTGAATAATTTCTTTTTCTGTGTTCTTTCTGATTTATGAATTTGTTTGATTTTTCGTCTTAGTATTTTGTTTATGTTTTCTAAATCTATGAAACTTTGCCGGGCTCAGTAACATGAGCTTGTAACTCGAGTGAGGGCATTAAGGTGATTAGACTTGGCTCTGTCTAATCTGGTTGGGCTTGTGTGTGCAATTTACTGACTTGCCTGTTCCAAGTTGGGAGTTGGGCTATGTAGAATGGGTGAAGCATGTCCTTGTCGACTCCTAAAGTGGAGGGTACCTTGTTTACATGACCCTCGGCGGTGGAAATATAACCAGATTGATGCACCATGAGTGTATTTGCCCAGATTAGCCGAAACCAAAGAACAATTACAGTATATTTTGCTTATTTTCTTTAAACATGTCATCACACAAATACTCCACAAAAGATAGCGCTTGATTGATTAAGCCTGTGGGATTATTTTACATGTATGGAAATTGTGCTTGATGCTTGT